AGCTGAGAAATTGTAATTTTTATTTTTTAAACTTTTTTTTTTGGATGAGAGTTGAACTCAGGGCCTTGCACTTGCTAGGCAGATGCTCTACCACTTGAGCCACACACACCCAACACTTTTTTCTTTGGTTATTTTTGAGGCAGTGCTCACATTTATGTCCAGGCTGACCTCTAATTGTGATCGCCATGTCTCCATCCATAAGTAGCTAGGATTACAGGTGTGCATCACACTGCTCCCAACTGAAGCTATAATTTTTGTCCTCAGTGAAGTCTCCAGCCAGGCGTGTTAGCTCACACCTGTAATTCTAGCTATTTGGGAGGCAGAGGTTGGGAGGATCAAGGTTCAAGGCTAGTGTGAGCAAAAAAGTTCACGAGACCCCCATCTCAACCAATATAGGTTTCTCAACCAATATAGGTTGGGCATGGTGGGTGGTACCTACTGTCATCCCAGCTACACAGGGAAGCATACATAGGAGGATCACGGTCCATGAAAGGCTAGGGTCATGGCTCAACTGGTAGAGGGCTTGCCTGACAGGTGCCAGGCCCTGAGTTCAAACCCCCATACCACCAAAAGAAAATGTTCAGTGACCTCTTAACATTTATTAGATGGGCCCTGAATGGCTATGTCTCCAGGGAAAAGCTGAGGAAGGAAAATGTTTATAAGGACCTGTTGTTTACATAGAAAGGTATTTTGACTTCCTGTGGTAATTTACTTCTTCACGTGAGATCATTTTCAAAAGGAGTCCAGTCATGATGAGAACTAACGTTTTTGTGGTGCGAGTGAGTTAGAGGAAATAACCTGATTAACTTTGGAATGGACTCCTCATTTTCAAAGCACGAAGCACTGCCCAGATAGCATCTGGCTCTTCTCAGTTCTCCTCCAGTGCTGATGGCTGAGCGCTCCATTTGTGCACCCTTCAGATGAGGGTGGGAGGTGGGCTCCCCACAGAGGAGGCCACACTGACCCTTCCTCCTCATGGACTTCAGCCTGCAACATGACCAGTAAAGACAGGCAGCTACCCCAAGTCCCTGCCCCAGAGCACCCCCAAACATTCTGAGAGCTTTCCTAGCCTGTGATTTCAGCATGGGCTGTTGTGGCCAAGTCCCGGATGTCCACTGTGCTGCCATTGGTTGAGCCTCACACTCAGGGTGGGGGCTTTCTTGGGTCAAATGTCCAGGCCCTCCGTGCTGTTTCCAGTTCCAGCTGCTAGTGTGGGGAAGGTTCAAGCGTACCCTACATCCTCTGCAAGGCTCAAGGGGCTGATGCTGTCTTGCCCACGCCCTTAGCATGGTCTCCTGAGCCAGCAAAGGGCCCACGCCATCTTTCAGCAAAGCCCGCTCCTGCTGAAACAAGCTGCGGAAACTGTTCACCTCATCTCGTCTCTCAGGCAGTGACTGCAGCCCAATGCCAGAGCAGGGCTTTCACCAGGCAGAAGTCTCCTCTCCTGGCTGCCTCCTATCCAGGCCTTCAGGGACCCGTAGTTTCTTCTGGCATAGTGGTCAGTCACCCTTCCTAGGACAGGACCAGGCATTGTCTCGAGCTGTCAGGGTGGGTCAAGTCACCCACTTGATGCTTTCCCTTCAACCTAAGTAAGGAATGGGCCATTAGAGTCAATTACACTCTATCAGGATTGGCTGTCATTTCCATCCCGGGTGTTTCTCAGCCAAAGCTTGTTCCAGACAGTGCTGGGTTTGAAAGACCTGCTCTCCACTCCAGGAACTGTGAGTTTTGGAAAGACATGTGCTCAGGGATCTGCTCCAGGTAACTGGCTTTGGTGAGAGGCCCCAGCGGCTTTGGCACTGAATCATTAGCACACCTGTGGGTGCACCCTGCCATCAGGAATTGGGAAGACCCCTTGTCATGTTTGTGTTCATGACTTGCAAGCATGTGTGGAGTTACCTCTCCTCTTGGCTTTCAGAAAGATGGTAGAGTATTAGCAGGAAAAATGGGGTCTGAAGTTTCTCTATGAGACAGAAAAACTAGTGGAAAATAATTGTAAAATAATGAAGCCAAGCCACGATGCATTTCCTCCATACAGCATACCAAAAAGTGATTTGTAGTTTAGAAGAAATGCAAGCACTTTAGTGCCACCTGATTCGGTGATACCTGGTGACCTTTGGTTGCTTATACTCACACTCTCTTTTTCTAACCTTTTAAAGCTAAAGGGACAAACCCCTCTCAGGGAAAGACCCAAGGCTGGCTGCCCTTGTCTTTGGCAGAGCAGCAGGAGGAGAGGGACGCCTGTATAGGTGGGAGTAAGAAGAAAGAGTTGCAGCTGTGGATTTGCTTGAGGCTGGGTGGGGCTGGTGTGACAGTTCAGAATTCATGGGGGCTCCAGACACATGGGAATTGTCCTCTTTCCACAGACCTACAGGGAGGGCACAGGGTGGCGTGGAGCTGGACAGGACTACTGAGAGAGTCCCCTTCTGGGGTGCATCAGGCCCCTGTGATCTGAGGGCAGGGCTGAGAAAACAGAGCTCCCAGGGCTGCAGGACAGCTGGGGCAGGGGGGAAGTGCAAAGGGCAGCCTGAGGACCAGGAGAGAAACTCCTGCCTGACACACCACGCTCAGGGACTGGGAAGACAGTAGTAGGCAAAGCAAAGGTGCTACCCTCATGGGATTTACCACCCAGTGAAGAAGCCAATAAAACATAGAGCAAAGTGTTGTGGGAAAAAAAATGAAGCAGGGGGTAAAGGGATGGGGAACAGGGCCCAAAGAGGGTTGTAGTGTTGACAGGGCATCTGAGAAGTCATCGCAGGAAGTGACCATGAGCACAAACCAAAACAGCAGCCGGCTGTGTCTGACTGCGGAGTTAGTGTCCATGGAGGGACAGGAGGCAAACAGTTGAGTTCATGGAACAGCAGGGGGCATGGAGCAGTTGGGATTTGGTAGCCACGGGGCCATAAAGGGAGCCTGGTCAGTAAAGTTTGCCCAGGCCTGGCAAGCCAATGGGGGGGTACCCAGCTTTCACAGCATGATTTCAGAGACCATGGCTCAGAGTTTAGAACAATAAGCCAGTCTCAGAGTGAGCTGCTTACATCTGAACAGCGCATGAACCACTTTGCAAGCATCAGCAAAACAGCAGCCCTGCTGCCCACCCTACGTAGGGTAGAATTACTTGGAAATCAAAGATATCAATCATAGCAGTACTTATTAGATCGTGAGATAAAGGATCATTTTTAGTCATGGTATTTCTCATTGTATGTCAAGTTAAAAATTTAAGATGAAAAGTAATATTAGGAATACAGTTGCTTAGGTTTCTTTTTTTCAAAAATGCAAACACACAAAAAATGCCTGTGCCTCTAGCAGCATTAAGGAGTGATGAAACCAGCATTCCTGTGGCCCTCATTTATTCCACATCTTAAAGCAGGAGGGAACCAGGGCAGTGCAGGGGACACAGAATGAGCTTGGGGTCTCCCAGACTGGGATTCAAGTAGTGAATCCTTCCTTCCCTGAATATCCGTCTAGTCTGTTTTGTGCAACTACAACAAAATACCTGAGTCTGAGTATTTTATAAAGAAAAGAGGTTTGTTTGGAGGGCGTTCAGAAGTCCAAGATCAAGCAGTCGTATCTGGTGAGGGCCTCATACTGTGTCATAACATGGCATTGGCTTCATATGGCCAGAGCGTGTACAGAAGCTAAAACACTGGGGTAACTGCTTTATAAAATCCCACTTTTGTATATGTGTGGCACTGGAGTTTGAACTCAGGGCTTCCCATTTGCTAGATAGCTGCTCTACCACTTGAACCATGCCACCACCCCTTTTTTCCTCTGGTTGTTTTGGAAATAGGGTCTTGCTTTTTGCCCAGGCCAGCCTGGGCCACAATTGTCCTACTTTAAGTTTCCTGCCCTCACTGGGATGACTCTCAGCTTTTTTCTTTTACCTTTTTTTTTTTTTTTTTTTTTGTCCAGGATAGTTTGGAGTGATGATCTTCCCGATCTCAGGCTTCTGTATAGCTTGGGATGACAGGCTATTGTTCAGGTGGGATTTCGCAAACTCCCTGCCAGGACTGGCCTCCAAACACAATCCTCTCAATCCCAGCCTATCAGGTAGCTAAGATTAAAGGCATGAGCCACTGCACCTGACTAAAATCCCACATTTAAGGTAACTAATCCAGTCCTGAGAGAACTGACTTACTCCCAAGAGACCCAACCCAGCCTCTCAAGAAAGACAGTGATCCATTCATGAGGAGCCCCCATGAATTAATTCTCTCACGAAGACACCTTCCCCATCTCTCAACACCATTGTATTGGGGACAGGCTTCAGCACATGGACCTCTAAGTCAATTCATAGCAGCAGCCCTGTCCTTACCTAGAATGGAGATGGTGCTGTCTCCCCACAGGTTACTTTCCCGGTGAGGGAGGCCCTTTGGGAAGTAGTGGGCCTGAAGCAATGGGGCATTTGGGAACCCATCATGGAAGTTTTGCTTGTAGGATGCTTACCCTAGAAATAGCTTTAGTCCGTCTAAGGCACTGTCCTTGAACTGTTTGGGATTTGGTTTCCTGTGTGCAGTCACAGGTGGTCTCAGCTGCTCAATGGTGGTAGTGTCCCTACATCTCCCATGAAATGCCTTCTGTCCCACCTGCCCCATCTTCCTCAGAGCAGTCACCCACCCAGGAGACCAACCTGCAATTTTTTGTCAGGACTTTGCTAGTTTTAAGTAAGTTCTGTTGGAAAAACGTGGAAAAGAAATAAACCTTTTCACACACTCGCCAGGGCCATTCCCATCTTGATTAGCCAAATGTTGCCCTCCCCCATTTGCTCAATGGTAAGCTTCAGATCACAGTCTTTTGCACCTCATTTTCGATGCTCCATTTATGCCTATTTCTTTTACAATGAAATTGCTTTGCTTTTTAGTAGTGTGTATCATTTGTGCAGCAGGCAGATGCAGGTGGCCAGTGACTGTCACTCCTGGCTGTGGAGTTGTAAGTGAATGAGGTGAAGCCCCACCCTCCCCTCCAGGCACCCTTTAAATGCTGTTTTTTATTTATTTTCACAGCAAACCCAAGGAGCCTGTATTCAGTGCAGGTAAGTCTGATTTAACTTTCTTATGGGTGTCCCTCACTCACTTGGATGGCCTTATTAAGTGGCTATAGTTTGGATGTTGATTGTGGGAGGGCCAGCCTGTGACACAGAGCAGCTTTGGTGTTTGTGTGGACCAAGTGGTCACCGGCAGCTTGGTGTGGGTGTTGAGTGGCTCAGATAACAGCAAGACCACCTGTAAAACAGTTGTAAAGACAAGACCCTTGCCTGCCCTGCTAAAACCCACGTGAGACCCATCAGTAAGGGGCTACGTGGAAGCCTTGGTCCTTTCATCCTTTTCCTTACTAACGGGCTCTGCCGTCCACATGTGCCCTTCTCACTAAGGGGAAGTTCCTGGCGCATTGAGTTCTGTGACTTTGTCTAAAGGTAGCTTTCTTTTTCTGCCTATGATCTCCTAAACTGCAAACTAATAGTTCATATATTCCTTTCCATTCATCTTTTTGAAGCACACTTTAAGATAGGATTTTTTAGCATATTAAACTTATTTTAAAATGTGTCTAAGATGAAAAAAATTATAATTGTGCAATTGATTAAATTCACTTAATTTTTCCAGTATTTTCCCCTTGAATTAAAAAGTCAACATAAAAACGCACAGTTTTGCATTTACAGCATGCACGTCAGTGTTTGTTTAATTTTCAGAAGCAGGAAATTACTGGAAACACAACTGCCGAAAACTCCATCCTAGGCACACTTGTCAGAGTCCCTGAAATGTCCAGTTGCACCATGGGGGACAGGGTAGCACCACGGCCTGCCTGCTAGTTAGTGAGTGCCCAGAGCAGGGGGCCAGCCACACTTGCAGTACCCCACCTTCTCTTTATCCAGCCCTTCTGTCTCTGTCTCCGAAATCACAAGGGAAGCGCCGGGTGATGCACTGCAAAGGTAGGCAGCATTTCGAGCCCACAGCTCTCCGAGCAAGGCTGCTTCCCCGGCTCCAGACAGTTTTCATACAGGCAGACCCCTCCTTGTATGAAAATGTTTCTGCGATGCAAACCACTTCCATCTGCTCTACCTTAAAAGCATCCCTGAGCATTGGCTTCGATGAGCTTTAATACATGGCTATGATTTGGATCTTGATTGGTTATTGGCTGATTATAGAAATTCTTTAAAAACCTGAAGAGAGCTATAGGGCTACCCTGGGTGTCCACTGTTTGGCACGATGCCCTGCGCTGCTGACCTCTCCCCACTAGTGCCTTTGGGTTTGGCATGCGTGCGTTGTTCTAACATGCCTGAAAACAGCATGTTCTCCCCTGCTGCACTGTGACCTTAGAGTGTCTGAGATACCAGCATGAAACAGTGCAAGGCTAAATTCTCTGCTATTTTGGTCTAGTCAGTAATTTAAAATCGTGCAGAAAGTAAGTCTCAGTTAAGTTACTTACTCAAGAAGTAAGTAAGACTTCTTAAGCAGCGCATAACGAATGACAGCATACACAAGTAGGTCCTTTGTATACGTTGGCTGTGTACACCCATGTTGGGCTTTTTTTTGTGTCTTATGGACACAGCATTATATAAACTTTATTCCTTAGCCTCCATTCTGTGAGTGCTCTGGCAGGATTGATTCACATCTTACAGAGAGCTGATGGGATTACTTTCCATTTAAACTTAAGTTCCATCACTGCTGCTTCTGTTTTCTCTAGGGTCGGTCTGCTGGGTGCTCTTAAGTCTTCATCTGTGATCACCACACAGTGTGATGAGTGGCTTGGGTGAGGGGTTAAGGGAGGGAAGAGGATTCTGAAGAGAACAGCATGGAAGTCTCAGAGGCAGGACAGGGGCATAAGGTAGTGAAGAGACACTTTGGGCCAGAGAGGAGAGTCCTCATGGGGTGGTTGTGGCATATGAGGTCACATAAGGTGAGAGCCCAGCAAGGCAGTTAGGCCTGCTTGGTCCAGCAAGTAAGAGAGCAAGAGGAGGCTCAGGTTAAGTCCTGTTTGGGCCTCGATGGGTTTAACAGCAGCATGACCCAGGGGAGTAGTTAGAGAACCTATGGTGACCACCTCATTTGGGCTGATTCCAGTGCAGTTGGGGTGGACAGTGCCCATGTGGAGAACATTCTAACAGGAGGATGCTGTGACTGGCACAGCTTGTGCAGGGATGAGCACATTCATGGTGCTTACTTAAAAGTCAAGCTTAATTAAATGCAGAGTGAAGAATGTGTCCCATGCATGCATTGAAGGTCTGAAGTGCACAAACACGGTAGCACAACATTGGGCCTCTTAGCTTTAAAATAATCTTGCATGTGGCCTTGTTTGAAAATCCTTAGGAATAAGACTTATAAAACTAATTTGTGATTGTGGTATTAAAGTACTGTGATTGTTTCATGACTTTTCCTCACCATTTCCTCTCTGTGAGTGATTTTCTGTTGAATTATGTACAGACGTTGCTGGCTCCAGCTGCCCCGATTAGATGTCATTAAGCCTGAGTCCTGATCTGCAGTCAAGCATCAGAATGCAGAGGACTCTGAACAGAAACTGTCAGGAGCTCAGGAGACATTTTCTTCTGCTTTAAAAAAAATAAAATTTTATTTTATTTTCAAGTTAGCCTACACTAATAATAGGGGATTTCATTGTGGTCATAATACATTTTCTTTGCTCTTACCATATCCTGAAAACTCTAGTCAGAACACCCCAAGCTCCAAGCTGCTGTTTTTAAGGTCCAGAGGTTGCTCCAGGTCAACCTCTTAGTGGCTTTACTTTGGCCCCATCATTTGTTAAAATATCAAAAGTTATTTTAATAGAAATATTAATTTTAAAAACTTCCCGATCTCCCTCTCTCTCTCTCTCTCTCTCTCTCTCTCTCTCTCTCTCTCTCTCTCTGTCTCTCCCTGTTTCTCTCTCCTCCCCCTCCCCTCTCTCTGTTGGATCTGCTTTTTTGTTTTCTATTTCCGGCTTCTCTTTGAGCATTTCCTTTTTGGTGCATCCTGCATGCACATCTACTGATTTTGTGTTCCTTGCATTTGAAAGAATTTGCCTAGTGTATAATATACATAACGATATATTTTTACACTTTGGCTTAGCAAATCAATTTACATATTGAAAGATATTTCATGAATTTTGATGCCAAAATTGTCTAAACATTGAACTCAATAAAAAAATTTAAGTGAATTTCTTGTGTTAGTCATAATTTTTGATGTGGTACTTTTTCTCCTGATGATAAAGAAAGTCCAGCCACTAAAATCTCATGGGAAATAATTGTTAGAATCTAGTTCCTGCCTTTTATAACTTCTTATGTATTTTGTGTACTTAAGCTGAATGTCAAAAACAAATACAGTGCATTTTGTTTTAGGTTATTTAATTTTCTGTTAGCTGTTTTTTCTCTGGGACACTAATTAGAGATGGCACAAGGGTAAAGTTTTCACTTGTGCATTGATAGGAACTCTGGCACTGGTTTTCAGGTGCCCTGAGCACTGAGGTATCTCACTGACATCTTTGTTCTTTTTGTAGAAGAAGGCTATGTGAAAATGTTCCTTCGTGGCCGTCCTGTTACCATGTACATGCCCAAAGATCAAGTGGATTCTTACAATTTGGAAGCAAAAGTAGACCTGCCAACCAAGAGGCTTAAGCTGGAGTGGGTGTATCCTTTGCTCATTGACCGGGTCTCAGACCAGGCTATCAGTAGCTGAAGTCTACTTGTAAAATCTTATAAAAATCTTATAAAATCTTTAGTCCTCTTAAGCTTTTAAAACAAAATGTTTTATTGTCACTTTTTTTAAAAAATTACTTTAAGTAGTCATATATTAGTACAGAACAGAACTTTAACAAAGGAGGTGATCCAGAGTTGCTACTAATTCTAGGGGAACCGACCTGTCTTTGCTGAATGGTATACCTGTGGTTCTTGCTCAAATACATACACATCATTTTCCTGAAAAGAAATATTAAAATGTTATTGATCATATGATGAATCTGTTTAGTCAGGGAAAATATGTCACTGGTTTATGACCTGAATGTTGATAAAGAATATTTAGTTAAAAACATATATTGAAGCAAGCTTAGTAAAAACAATTAAAGACAAGTAAAATAATTAAGAGTTAGGTTCTAACAAGAAAGAAAGAGCCAGTTATTTTAACAGGATGATCACATCCCTCGTGAACTCCAGATGGAAAAGGCAGGAGCTCTGATATTTACCAGGAAACAGCAATGAAATACTAGAAAATATTGAACTGAAGAATGAGAAAATGGGATATCAAAAAATGGAAACTAAACCTTGGTGGCAGCAAATCTGTAGATTCAAACAAAGAAAGGAGATACCCTGAAAGGAAGGACTAGCATTTTCCCCTTTAACCAAGTAGGAACTTGGCCAGCCCTAGGAGCCCAAGAACAAGGTGACCACTGAGTGACTGAAGAGATATAGAAGAATGCAAACACCCATGTAGTTAGTGGAAAGAGTGAAATGAATATTATAAAGTTGGTGTGGAACATAGATGTTTTCCTACTTTTTTTAAGAAAGGGAAATTTTCACAAAAAATCTAGGCCACCAAAATCTGAAACTACCCTATGACTAACGTTCTTGAAATAGTGCTGCTGGCAGCTCTGTGGTGGGAGGTTTGGAAAAGTGAGCTTCCAGAGAAAACAGCTGAAAGACAAGAAAACAGGACTCAGGAAAGGGGGAATTAGTGGCATTTTTTTCTCCATTAAATTCAGTTTATTTATTTACTACTTTAAGGAAGCCAGCCTACAGAGGCCCCTTCCAGTCTGTGAGGATTTAGGACAGAGAGAGAGTAAGAATCCTGTCTTCACCCTCTAACACACATCTATTGATTACCTGCTTAATGCCAAGCCCTGGAGAGAAATTACAAGGTGGTAATTTAAGTTGGTGTTCTCATGACTTCATTTAGAAAAGTTAGTATTTGAGATTTGGCATCATATTCTCTAGAATTTTTTTTTAAATTTCTTAATCACCTGTAACTAAATTTCTCTCCCAAGACCCATTTTTTGTTTTTTTTCAGATTCAGTTGTTGGTGTCTACCTGTTCCTGTATGGTACCTACTTAGACATAAGGATTCACTTTTCTTTAAGTCAGTAGTGGTTTCTAGAATTGTTAAGTCAGATCTAGAAAACATTCAAAACACATACATTTGGCCTACTTCCTAGTCATATTTCAGATGTAAAACAGTGAAATTTGCTCCAAGTAAATGGTGATTTTTTTTTTTTGGCCAGGTTATTTTTTACAACCAAGTTCAAGTGCTGCTTTGCTCTTTAGTTTTCAACATTCGGAAGTATACGTGCTAAAATTTTAACAGGAATAAGTATCCCTAAAGAGATGGGATGAGGAGAATCTAAATTTTTTTAACCATAGATAAATGTTTGTGTGTCATCCGTACTCATTACAAGTACTTTTATCATGTTTTAGAAATGGATTTTTAATTAAAAGATTTAGCTTAGATTATAATAAAAACAGACTAGGACTAACTCAATAACTTTCTAAAAAACCAAATCTTTGTATTGATAAAAATATATACTTAAACCAGGCCAGTCTGGGCTACATTGTTAATTCAAGACCAGCCTAAGCTACATTAGTGAGACTCCATCTCAAAAATCCAAGGACTGGGGATGTAGCTCATTGGTAGAGCACTTGCCTAGTATGCACAATGCCTGAGGTTCAATCCCCAGCACCACCAAAATTAAAAAAAAAAGATAAAATGTATTCATATTACATCACTGACGATTTCGAACCTTATTTCCTGCATCTGGGGGGCCAGATGTATTGAGCACTATTTGCAATTTATCATCATTTCAATCAGTGAAACTGATGGGAATCGTCATAAAGGATTTTATTCCTGTTGAAAACAGCCAATGATTTGTGAGCTCTTTACAGAAAACAGATTTTACCTTGACTTGCACATAGCTATGGGTACCGGGGCCGAGACTGCCGTAATAACCTGTACTTGCTCCCGACGGGGGAGACGGTATATTTCATCGCGTCAGTGGTGGTGCTGTACAACGTGGAGGAGCAGCTTCAGAGGCATTACTCGGGCCACAATGACGACGTGAAGTGGTGAGTCCTCAAAAATTGGGGTTGCCGTCACACAGGTGAGCCGGCATTAGCTAGAAGAGTCAGGTCGTAAGCCAAGAGAGTCAGGACTCTGGGCAGAGTGCTTCCTTCCGTTCATTCTGCCTGTTGTCTGCTGCTTCCCTGACTCTGCAGACCCCTTTCATGTTTAGCTTTCTAAACTCACTACACGTCACCTAATTGACCAGACCGTTCCCACGGACACCTGCTTGGATTCCTTCTTTTTAGAAGGAGGTGGGACAGATGCTGGGGTTTGAAACGAGACCTTTGCATTGGGTAGGCGGGTGACCTACCACATGAACCGCGCCTCTAGCCCTTTGTGCTGTGGTTATTTTGGAGATAGGGTCTCACTTTTTGCCCAAGCAAACCTGGATCATGATCCTCCTGTTTTAAGATTTCCACCATCACTGAGATGATGGGCATATGTAGTACCATGCCCAGCTTTTTTCTATTGAAATGGGGTCTTGCAAACATTTTTTTGTCTGGCTTGACCTGGATCTGTGATTCTTCCAATCCCAGCCTTCCTGGTAGCTGAGATTACAGGCGTGAGCCACTGACACCTGACTTTGGAAGCCTTAACACAGCACAAAGGCTGGGAAGCTGTAGGAAGGACCTTGGAAAGACTGAATGAATAGATGGATTTATGTCTATCTGTCCTGGGCCCCTGGTCAATGGTAAAAATCCTGTCAACAAAAAATTCAGTACCTTTACTATTAAACATACTCAAAGTGACTTCTCAGTAAAGGGTGTAGACTAATTATGGGGTTCTGAGATTTAAATGGTATTTTTCCTGCAGAGGATGCTTTTTCCTTGTTTGGAAGTTCGCTAGTTGTCTAGGGACATCGAGTGCTGAGGGAATCTGTGGTGAGTCTGTAAGCAGTTAGGCATTCTGTGTTCCTTACCTGTAAAGGTTTGACTAGATTATATAAATATCCTTCCTCAGCCTGGCAGTTCACCCTGACAGGATCACAATAGCAACAGGACAGGTCGCAGGCACAGCTAAGGATGGGAAGGTAAGTTACATTGTCCTTTCATATTTTTATAAGGAGCTGATGACACAAAACAACTTTCAGAAAACATTTGCTCAGTGGTCAGCCTGCTTAGGTGAAGTTACAGCATCTGGACATTTCTGAATCCCTCACTCACAGTTTTTATGGGTCTTGAAAACCCCTGAGCTCACCTTAATTTCAAGCAAAATTTAAAATACCATTGTACTGACCTAACAATTCTAATTCTTAAAATACCCATACGTCATAAGCATTAAAATATGAAGGTATTTATTTAACAAGCTAAGTTAAAAATCACGGGGCACTGTCAGCTGTGTATGCCCTGCCATCATGACTTCGGCCCATGAGGTCTGTGCCTGTGTGCAAGTCACAAAAGCTATGAGGGGGTTTTCACAAAAATTCTGTAAGTACTTGAGCAAGACTTTAAACTGTATGTTAAAGAATGAAAGAGGGAGGCTGATAGGATTTAACAAATAGAGAACAATTCAAAACTGGTTTCCTGTGATTGTCATCTTATTCAAAACTCCTTGTAGCTTTTCTGATATCTACTGTTGTATAGCTTATTATCACATTATGTATTATGTAAAACTAATCACAATAAGTACTTTCATTTTATCAACATATTGCCACCTTGTTAGAGAAAATGTTTTAAAGACATGGAATTTTAAATATTAACCTTATGCTATTTCCCATTAAAATTCTACGTGTGAGAAGTAACAGGGATAATGGAAGGAAGACTACTGTTATGTAAATAGAACAGGTGTTCATGAAAAGTTCTTTGAAATCAGTGGTAAACTATTTGTCCGGCCCTCTAGTGGCTTTAAAGTGTATTTCAGTTTCTGGCACTAAAACAGAAAGAACTTTAAAAACCAGAGAAAATGATATAGCTGTCTGCGCTAATCCTTTCGATTTACCTGTGGAGAAATCCAGAGAGGCAAGTGACAGTGTGTGGACACCCAGCTACTTAGCAACAAGGCTGGATTAGAACACAGTTCTAGCGCCCAGTTACATCCAGTGGTGGCCCCTTTCCTTGATGAGGAATCTGCTGATCTCTTTCTGATGCTTTCTTATAGGAAACGCCATTCTCTCTCATTTTCATTTCTGAAGTTCAGACACATGTAGGTGTATGAACAGTGTCCATTCCTGTGATACAGTTATCAAAGACAGGCTAGTCCAAATTTAAAACTTGGGAGTCCTTACTCCCGTTTCCTGTGGGGAGCAGGAAATGTTTCTCCTTCCTCCCGCTCCTGGCACTTCTCCCTACTTTATCCTATTATACTAAAATAAATCCTTTAATTACTTCAAAGAGTAATTAAAACTTGGTAGGCCTCTCCTAAAAGCTCAATTGGCCACAGGGCCCAGAGGCTCCTGAAAATGTTACATTATTTACATTCAGAGGCAGACTCTTAAATGCAGGGTTAAAAAAAAAGGCCTTTTGTTTCAACAAAATTGAAGTTACTACCCAAGTAATCTTGTATCTTCAAGGTAAAAATGAAGTTGTTAACTGTCATATTGCTGCTTGTGTTTTTCAAAACAGCAATTGCCCCCACATGTGCGTGTCTGGGACTCCGTGACACTGAACACCCTGCACATCATCGGAATAGGCTTTTTTGACCGAGCCGTCACCTGCATTGCATTCTCAAAGTCTGTAAGTGTGAGCCGCGTAGAAATGGCCGTCTTTGGCCACAGGGAGGAGAGAGTGGACCTCTCGAGGTTAAGGAGGTTGAGGTTACTGCCTTGGTGCATGTACAGATTGGACTCTGAGAGACACTTCCTATCAAACATCTCCAGCCACATGGGCTTGGGGAAGAAGAGAGCCCCACCCAGGATATGGTCCTCATGCTCCTAAGACAGTTCGCCTGCTCCAGCCTGGAGTGTCACTTGCTGCCTCTGCAGGTGGCTCCACCATGTCTCTGCCATCCCAGTACAGGCTGGCTCCCTGCACATCCACAAGCAGGGGTTGAGGGGACCTCGTGGTCTTCCAGCCTTCCCCAGGACATGCTGGTCACGCAGATGCACACCTGCCTTCTTTAAACTGCTTCTCCATCCAGCTCCGGAACATAGGTCCACATGCACTGTGCGTGCTTGCACCAGACGCCCACGTTTATTCAGGCGGAAGGACACCTCTGCAGTGGCCACGTTCATGCTGGTAGCAGACACTGGGCCGTGCCTGCTGTGGGGACTATCTCCTCTAGGAGGAGGGGTGTGAGCCCCTGCGGGACTGGTTTCCATGTAACCCAGTAGTGAAGAGCTGCCCTGTGATCCTCTCTCTCCCACTCCTATCCCTTCATGGTCCCACACTCTCCTGCTCTCTCTGTTTGACCGAGTAATTAGGTCTCCAAAGCAATGGGGAAATAGTCCTTAACTACAGTAGGCTCTTCATTAAAGTGAAGTTAATACTCATTTTTAATCCGTTCATCCCATTTTATTCTCAACTGTAGCCATCCTCTGAATAACTTTTTCTTTCTAGAATGGAGGAACCAATCTCTGTGCAGTGGATGACTCCAATGACCACGTGCTGTCGGTGTGGGACTGGCAGAAAGAAGAAAGACTGGCTGATGTGAAGGTTTCACTCAAGTTTTATGTTGGGCTAACAGCATCAGCTCCCCACGTGGATATCCTACCACCCCTGCCAGCCTGCAGCCTCCTCCCAGTAGGCTCCAAGGCTGCCCAGCCCAGCCCAGCCCCTGGGCATGACCCCTTTCCCTCTCACCTCATAGGACCCCATACCCAAGACCTTCACAATGTCTGTAAGATTTTTTTTCTTCCCCATTCCATAGCCACTACCCTTTTAATTCATTCAATCATTTGTTTGTTCATTTCTCCTTTCATTCATTCAACAAACTCCAAATGTCCACTGTGTGCTGGCATGGTGCAGTGTGAGGAAACACTGGAGGTGGACAATGGGTGATGTGTGCCCACTTCCCATGATCCTCTGTGACTGGAAGGCAGGTGGATGCCAGCATCTCTGAGATCAAGCACTGTGGCCTGCACAGGACTCCTTCAAAGCTGACTTGGAAAGGACTAGCGAGAGCCAAATCCCAGATCCTTCCAGGGCATTACTCCTGCAGTGGTCCCTGTTAATCTTTTACTGCTTCTAGTCCACTTTGCACAAAATGTCAAGTTAACATTCCTTAAGCTTTCTTTTGTTGTTCTCCTATTAAGATCATCATTGGATTCCTATTTTTATAGAACTGATTTCAGATTTCTCATCTTAACATCTGTCAACCCTCGATAACCTTACTTAGCTAACATTAGAAATCCCACCAGTGTTCCTTGTGTAACACTAGGACTGGTGACGGATAACCTTACCTGACATTGGGATTACTATCAGATGGCCTCGACTACTTAACTTTCTCTCTTGCGGGTCTGAGGTGCCAATCTGCATTCTAATCATGCACATTTCCTATCCTGTGTAGCTGGCCTTCCAGTGTTTCCATCGGGGATTTACCGGGTTCTTGCTGTGTGGCTAGGTTGAACTGATTAGAGCCAAGTTATTCTCCAAGTTCAAGGATATATGCCTGAAGTATTAAGCAGAAGCCACAGTCAGGGCCACATCCTTCAGATAGGGCGCAGGCCCTGGAAGTCAGGATATGAGTTGAGAGGTGCTGAAGTGGTTGCTAAAGAGCCAGATCCACCACACAGGACTCCAGGCTTGGTCTCTGAGCCACAGGCAGAGTCCCAGGAATTAGAACCAGGAGGGACCCTTGGGAAAATAGGATAGCCACAGTTAACCAGAAACAAAGGAGCTGTAGGAAATCCTGATTGCTGGGCCCCTCCCTGGAGATTCCAGTCAGCAGATGGGGATGAGGCCTAGAAGTGAATACGTTACCACATGTCAGATGATCCCATTGCTTAGCCAGGTTAGGAGTCCAGGACTGAAGACGAGAGCAAACGCCACGGTTCTAAAGTGCCCACTGCTCCTGGAACAGTGCTCCTTCCTTGAAGCACAAGGCTCACCTGTGGGACCCTGTCTTCACGTTCACAGCGAGGGGGGCAGACTCACAAGGGGGAGAAGTGAGACGTGCAGCCAGTGTGCCTTTGTGCCAGATGTAGTCAATGGGGGAAAAAAGCCTAGAGGTCCAGTGTTCGGCTTGAAAAAGTCATTTATTTGTGGTTCAGATTTTATTCATTTTCTTAAGTGTCTTAAGAGATTTGTTTCTCGATTTTCTTCAAGTGTTCTAATGAAGCAGTGTTTGCTGCGGATTTCCACCCCACGGACACCAATATCATAGTTACCTGTGGGAAATCACATCTCTACTTTTGGACACTGGAAGGAAACACCCTTATTAAGAAGCAAGGATTATTTGAGGTAAAGTACATTTTTGTTTTATTTTCCCCTGCGTGGTACACGTGATCAGTTAAATTTTAAGGGAACACTGATCCTAGTCTTAACATTTGTTTTAATGGCAAATGCAGAAACACATGGGCGTGTTGAGATGAGGATTGTCCTCTGGACAATAGAGGCAGGGAACCCTTTGTGTCTATGGACCTCACAGGTAATGAAGTGAAGAAAGGTTGGTGCAAGCCACAGAGGGGATGCAGCCCAGGAGGCAGGGCCTCCCCACAGGGCACCTGGCTCCTCAGAGTGCAAGTGAAGAAGCAGAGAATGGACAAGCCACGTTTGGGGAGGACGGTAGGGACGCTCTTTGGTTTGGCCATTTGAGGACCTTGTGAGAGCACCAGAGGACATCTTCCTGCAGAATGACTTAGAGAACCCCTTTATTCTGGTGCAGGGGAGCACTGTTCTTTACTCTTCAGTGTGACAGCACAGTACCCCAATCCCTCTCCAGCATCCCTCACACACACCACTTCAACTGTCTGCAACTTTACATTTCCTTCACCATTTGCAGTTGCCAGAAATTTCTTTCTTTTAAAGCAATTATGTATAAGTTACGTAACAGTAGGTAAATGTGAAAAGTCCACAGGGTAATCACATCCATCTGGAATTACTGTGGTTCTAGCTCTTATTAATATAAATAAAAGGATGTCCAAAAGGTATTGATTACCTATCCATACTTACTACATTCTACAGAAGCAAGAAAAGCCAAAGTTTGTCCTGTGTGTGACATTTTCTGAAAACGGTGACACCATTACTGGAGATTCAAGTGGCAACATCTTAGTATGGGGAAAAGGTAACAAGTGATTTTCCCAAAACCAGTTTTTTTTAGTAATGTCATAAGTAAGACATCAAAGGTGACTTTTTTTTGTTAGTAAGAATTATGTATTACTATAACATACATAATTACTGTTGAATTCCAAGTTTTATAGGTGTGTGGGTGTGGTTTTAATGAAACCATAAGGTTCTGATGGAAGAAAACTGGGGAATGATAACAGGTACCAACCTTACCTATATCATCCTAAAAGTCTTTAAAGCCAAGATATGATAGAATGTAAAACTCTATTAGGAAAGCTGTTGGCAGGTTATAGTTCTGCTTTTGGCGTTTACATAGCTGTGAGATAGTTGGGTGACTTTTCTGACTCACCTAACATTTGGCAGGCACTCATAGAGTGCTACAACAGCAACACAAATGAGCCCTGCCATCAGCGAGCAGGGAGGTTTGTCCCTCAGGAAGCTTGTATTGGGTTAAGCCTAGGAGCATCCATGAGCGCTTTCCAGGTTCAGGAAATGACACCCTCGCTGCCCGCAAGGATCTTAGAGTTGGGATTGGGGGTAGAGGTAGAGACAGACCCATAAGTGCAATTTCAGAACAACACTTTGTAGTATCCCCACTACCCTTGGTGCTGTTCACTTCATCCTTAGACCAATCCTGTGGAACAAGCAACAGCCCTATTCTGCAAAGGACACAAGGACACAGCTCACTGGGGAGGGAGCTAGAGTGTATACTCAGAGTCCGTGTCCTCAGCCTCTGATGAGGACCCGTGGTGCAGCTGCACGATGATTTGTGTTAGCATATTTTCCTCGATTGTAGAATAATCCAGTTCATGCCTGCCTGGTGCTCTGTGAACTTCCAGAAATTGGATCCTTTGTAGGATTATATTAAAATGATGTCCTAACTGACCATATTGCCTTTTTAAGAAATGAAATGAAACTTGAAAATGGATAGAAGTGCGCCTTTTGACAATGTACTAACGATGGCTTTCTTGGTGTGTTCAGGTACAAATCGAATAAGCTGTGCAGTTCAGGGGGCCCATGAGGGTGGCATTTTTGCACTTTGTATGCTAAGAGATGGCACCCTGGTGTCGGGAGGTGGGAAGGACCGAAAGCTTATTTCTTGGAATGGAAACTATCAAAAACTTCATAAAACCGAGGTAAGGTGCAAGCCTACTGCAGAGATTCATGCTGACCTGTTATCCTAACCGGTTTCCTGCTGGTTTTGAATCTTTAGCTTATAGTTTTGAAAATCATTTAGATGAAATTGTATGGGAACAACATACTTTATTCACGTCAGGAAGGCAGTTTAAGTACTACTAAAAGTAAGTTTATAAAGTTTGGGGATATAAAACACTTCATATATAGAATATTTTTATAATAGAACAGCATTCATTTCCCAAGGGACTACTAGCCACATTTTGGTTTAATTAAAGTCTTTCCTCACTTCTTACTAAGTGCCAGCAGGTTACTTTGCAGGTATTATGACCTTGCACTAATGGTTACTAAGTGGAAGCTTTGTGCATTGTCTCAGCCAAGGGCCACCATGTTCTCCACACTCTAGCTCCTTCTCAATCTGCTTTGTCTCCTAGTTACTAGGGAGCACTCCTGCCTTCCAGTAGGAGCCCAAGGCAAGCAACTTAATATTCCTCTGCATACTCGGCCAGATTCCAGGAAATTGTGAGCACACAAATTGAAAACAGTCAATTTGTGAACTGAATTTGTGAATTGAAAACAGTCTAAAAGGTGGCACTCTTTATTCTAGCATAGTATGGGTACCTTGTAGGACTTTTCCAGCTTCTAAGTCAGATACACAAGACACACTTGCATAACACATCACAGGACAACTATTTTGGGCAGTGGGAAAATGTGTTCTGTTGATTATCACCTGTAATAAAGATGTTAGCCACATGTGGTGGTATACACCTGTAACCCCAGCTACTCAGGAGGCAGAGATAGGAGGATCTCAAGTTCAAGATCAGCCTGGGCGCTGGGCCACTAGTGGTTCACTCCTGTAATCCCAGCCACTCAGGAGGCAGTGATCAGGAGGATCGTGGTTTGAAGCCAGTCCAGGCAAATAGTTCGAGAGACCCTATCTCAAAAAACCCATCACAAAAAAGGGCTGGTGGAGTGGCTCAAGTGCTAGAGCACCTGCCTAGCAAGTGTGAGGCCCTGAGTTCAAAACCCAATGCCACCAAAAAAAAGGATCAACCTGGGCAAAGTTAGTAAGACCTTATCTCAAGACACAGAATACAAAAACAAAAGCACTGGGCATATGGCTCAACACTTGCCTAGCATATAGGAGGCCCTGGATTTAATCCCCAGTAACTGCAAAATTTTAATTAATTAATTATAATAAAATAAAGGAATGTTTTCATTTGAGTATTGTCAACCACCTCCCCTTTCATGGAGATTTCAGTTGTGAGAACTTTTTGTAATATGTTTGGTCAGCATTTAGTGAGTATATATGAATTGCCAATCACAGACATTCCCATATTAAACTGTAACTGCAGAGGAGGCACCATCACTCACCAAGCAGTCCCTCTTCACTGCATAGTGGTCATCACCTTGCTTTTCTTCTTTTCTTCTTATTATTTGTTTTTTGAAGCAGGATCTCTCTGTGTAGCCCAGTCTTGCCTCACACTCCCAATCCTGCCTCAGTCTCCCAAGTGCTGGGATTACAGGTATAAGCCACCATGCCCAGCTCAGTCATCCCCTTTTCTTAAGCCTGTGCTGACAACCACATTGTGACAGAGACTGCAGCAAGGCAGGCTGCTGCTTCTTACTGTGCTCTGCCTGGATCCTGAAGCCAGCCTGCCCAGCAGCCCCTATTGTCCTTTTAGTTCTGAGAGGTAGTGAATGCATTTTGAAATTCTTTCTCTTAACGTTTGGATTACTCTGTATATTTATCAACACGAACAACGGATTTCAAAACTAAACAGAGTGACATTGCCAAAGGATTTACCTTTTCACAGTTCATAGTAGATCTTTAGGATCTATATATTCTTATTTTCCAGATTTTATCTGCTACTGCATCAGATATCATAAGTGAAGAGTAGACTAACCAGTCATAGTCCTTACTTTTTTTTTTTTCAGAAAATAATCTTTTTGTGTGGTACTGGGGTTTGAACTCAGGGCTTTGTGCTTGGTAGGCCATGCCACCCACACCCCCAAAAAAATGCTTTAAAAAAAAAAACAACTTCGCAGCTGGGTGCTTGTGGCTCCATGCTTGTAATTCTAGCTACTTGGGAGGCTGAGATTGGGAGGATCATAGTTCAAGGCCAGCCCAGGCAAAAAGTTAGTGAGACTCCCATATCAATAGCTGGGTGCAGTGTTGTATGCCTGTCACCCCAGCTATGCAGGAGGCTGAGATGGAGAAGATCAAAGTTGCAAAGTAGCCAGGGCAAAAAAGTTTAGAAGATCCCATCTCAATGGAAAAAGGGTGGGTATGGTGGCACACACCTTTCATCCTAGCAACAGGAAGAATCATAAAGTAAGAGTGATCCAGGCCAATCTGAGCAAATAATGAGCCCTCATCCCTAAAATAACCAGAGCAAAAAGAGTTGGAGGCTTGACTTATGTGGTAGAGTGTCTGCATCACAAAGGCAGAGCCAGGAGTTCAATCCTCAGAACCACCAAAAAAATTAAAAAATAAGGCACAGCATTTGCCTAGCATTTGCCTAGCACATGCGAGGGTCTGGATCCCCCAGCACCACACACACACACACACACACACACACACACACAAAAAGGTAAGGCTTGGGGTTTTGATCATTCACTGAACCACCTGGTGGTGGTATTTTCTAATCTCTCCCCAAGTGCACATGTAAAACTGCTACAGGAGCTATATGTAGCACAGAACAAGTATTTTGAATTTAATGAAATCTAATCTTTCTCTTCATGTGTGTCTTTCCAATGTAGATTCCAGAGCAGTTTGGCCCGATACGGACAGTGGCGGAGGGCAAAGGTGATGTCATCTTGATAGGCACAACTAGAAACTTTGTCCTGCAGGGTACCCTGTCAGGGGACTTTGCGCCTATCACTCAGGTAGGTCCAGCTCAGCAGGCCCCAACACCTTCACTTTGCATTAGATGAGGACATAGGCTTGAACTAAGTGTTACACTCACATGACTTTCCTCCACTTTGCTGTGATTAGACTGGGGAGGACAGGTCCAGTGAAGGCCATGGCAAAGGGGCACACATCAGTGTGACTCTGGAGCCTCAGAGGGCCCCGTGTCGTGGTTCGTTGTAGGGTCACACTGATGAGCTCTGGGGACTGGCCATCCATGCCTCCAGACCTCAGTTCCTGACCTGTGGGCATGATAAGCACGCCACTCTCTGGGACGCTGTTGGTCACCGGCCCATCTGGGACAAAATCATAGAGGTAAACGTGCATGTTACATTTTCATTTTGCTTGTAAAAATTCATCTGGAACATACTCATTTTTTCGCATTAAATTGTCCCTAAGAAAATGTCATTAAATTTATCTCCTTAAAATTGCATTGCTTTTAACTTTGCCTCAAGTGTTCTCATCCATGTAACCCTGAAGCTTACTGCTGAGTTTTTCAACAAAAGCTAGCCTTAAGTTGATTGTCAAGGTTCCCAAGTGCAGTCTTCACAAGCTTAGGTGTGAAGAAATACATGTTGAGAGCCTGCATTCTGCTCTCAGGATGCCTTGTCCAGAATTTACCAGCTATAGTGAAAAACATGCAGGTTAATTTATCCCTACATTTTGAGTTTGATGCTAACACTAAAGCGTTAGTTTTAAAGTCAGCATCTCTGAGAAACTTGCAGAAGGAGGGCAGCTTGCACATCAGTGAAAACACCTTTGCCTGTGTGTGTAACAGCATGCATTTCCTGAGCTTTGACTCTGTGGGCACCAAGCACCAAGTGTGTGTCATCCTTAAGCCTCACAGCTGCCCTGCAGGTTGGAGGGTCTTGGTGTTTTGGGTTTATTTTTTTAATCTGATTTTATTGATTAGGAAATTGAGACTTAGAGAAGTTAAATGACTTGCCAAGGTCCCCAGGTTAGTGAGTGGCAGAGCCAGTGCTTAAAGCTAGCTCAGCCTGAGTCCCAAACCCAGACTCTGTCTGCAGCATCACATTGCAGAGAGTTAGAGGCACATCCTCTGGGGTGATGATGACAGGTGCTTCCCATCAAAGGAAACATCCTTGTGCAGACCCCAGTATCACCCACTCATCCCCTTCAAAGCCACTGGTGGCATGTCCCAGGTATGGGTCTGGGGTTGGCTCTCGCCTTCTGCTTTCAGAGAAGGTTGTTAAGGGTGCTAGTGACTAGCGATCCATGGAGCACTGAGATAGAAAGTCTAAGAGGAAGTGGGAAACACCGAAGTGGTGGCTATGGAGGGTGGCCTTCCCACAGTATCATCCACATGGGAGCCCTCTGAAAGCAGTGACACTTCCTCTGTCTCCCTGCCCCTCACCAGGCTGCTAACCTGAGGCCTGATGTAAGGAGAGGGCCAAGGTGGAAGCCAGAGCCCTGCAGTGAGTTCTGGCTCCTCTGTCACTGGCCATGTGACTTTGGACAGAAACACTTCACCTCTTGCACCTCAATGTCTTCATCTCAACATTGTTGTGAGACTGAGATGAGTCACATATGCAAAAGTGCTTTGGAAATGGTCGCGCTTCAAGGGAAGCTGAGTTCTACTTGTGAGCTCAGCAACCAGGGAGCTCACAAGTAGAACAGCTCCCGCTTAGGAAAAAGCTGAGACATGGGACCAGCAACTGAGGTTTCTGTCTGTGCCTCATGGTTTCAGTTTATCCAGAAGCATCTGAGTGCCTGTTTCCATCCCCACTCTTGTTGCAGTGGTTGGGTGGTCATTCTTCCAGACAGATCAGGCATACCTTTGACAAGCTTACCACTGAGCCCAGGGGCCAGCGAGGGTGCTGGGCACACAAACCATGGCTTGGTAGAGAGAGTTGACCTGTTTGTCTTTCATCTGATCATTGCACCTAGGATGGGAAAATTCTGAAAGTATAGAAGCATAGTAGTGTTGAAGTGTGACATGCATCCAAGTGGGAGAACATTTTCCTCTCTGGGAGAAAAGAGACTTTACTGTCAAACAGAGCCATGCAGCCTAAGGAGAGAGAGCTGTGTGGGTGGGTTTTATGCTGTGGTGTTGTATCTGGCCATCAATTTACACTTCCTTTAAACTATTTTAGGATCCAGCTCAGTCTTCTGGTTTTCATCCTTCAGGGTCTGTGGTTGCGGTGGGAACACTGACTGGGAGGTAAGCCCGCACAGCAGGTCTGTGCTTCCCAGCTATGGCAGGAGCTCGCTGACTGAGTTTCCTCAAGGGCGGGTGCAGGCCACATGTGGCTGCATCTTCTCAGCTTCCAATGACTTGCCAAGAATTAAGTCAAAACTCAAAAGCATCACTAAAAACAGGTCCTGGTCCTCCCATTTGGAACTTTGGGAAAACCTGAGAGAACCCTGGACCTAGAAAAGTGTCCCTCTCCAAGTCCCCCCACCACCCCACCTTCTGCCTCCAATTTCAGAGGCTCTGTAAAGTTGCTCAGCCCTGCTCTAGAGCCTGTGGGAGGAGCCTCCATCTGGGGACTAGGCGAGAAAGCATCCCAAAGCACTGAGAAGTTAGACTGTTTTTTCTAGCTGCCTGGTCAGAATATAGAAAGTGCCCATCTCCTGAGCCTGAGATTCAAATTCTGCTAATACTTGTTTACCAAGAACCTCCACACACCAGGCGTAGATCTGTGTTTGAGCCCCAGTGTCACCACTTGACAGCAGTGTGCCTTTGAGCCAGTCATATGCACTCTGAATTGGTTTCTTTTCTATAAGTTTTGATACTACCTACACTGATGATTGAAGGAGGCGATGTACACAGAACATCTGCCAGTTGCCTGGCGGGTGATAGTGGTGTCTGCTCTTACCATTGCTTGGCAACATTTGATTGTACCTTCACGGTGCTTGTCACAGTACAGCAGTTCCCCCTTGTCCTCAAGGGATACATTGCAAGACTGAAATGATGGGCAGTGCCAAACCCTGAATGTACTATATGCACGCCTATGACAGCATTTCATGTAGAAATTAGGCACAGTAGGAGATTTACCACAATACCTCATGATCAGAGACAGCAACTGCAGTATAATTGTAATTATATATAAAATTATGTGAATGTGGTTCTCGCTCAAAGTGTCCGATTGTATTGCTCTTACCTTCTCCTTGTGACGAAGTGAGATGATCCAGTACCTGCCCGAGCAGATGAACTGAGCAGAACAATGTGCTCCATACAGTGCACAATTTAAAATTTATGATCATTTGTTTCTGGAATTTTCTATTTAATATTTTTAGACTAAGGTTGATGATGGGTAACTGAAACCATAGAAAACAACCCTGGGTCAGGGGGACAACTTCTGTGCACTTACTGTAATCTCATCCACCTGCTTCTGGTTGTTCCCCCCCCATCCCTTCTCTCTAAAAAATGTGTTGGCTGAAAGAGTAACACTTCTGAGTCCTGAATCATAGGTAGAATAGTCTGAAGAGTCAGACTCCATGCATCCAACAGATTCCTCCAGTAAAATGTGTGCATGGCAAAACACACACACACACACACACACACACACACCCCTCATTTAACTCTCTTCAAGACAGCTGAAGCTTTGAACTCAGTGGGTTATACCCTCTGAGGACTGGCCACAGTCAAGCTGACCGGCAGCATTGTCTACCTGCTGACTATACACGGAGGACATGTGACAGTGCTCAGAATCCCAGTCACCCAGGAGTGGAAGAGATAGCACTATAAAACCAGTCCCACCTCTCTGTCTGCTCCTCCCACATCTCTGGTCCCAGGGCTACACAGTCCTGATGATGTGATAATGTCTGTTTAATTAACAGGACTTTTCGAAGTGTGTTCTAGTCAGCCCTAGTGTATTTATGTTTCGGCCTCTGTTAAAGTGAAATAGTACATTCAAGGTAAATGGTTGTGAAGATGTAAGAAATCAAAGCTGAGAAGCAACTTCCGGATTGCAGTGCGCCTGATAGGTGGTAGTGGTGAAAGCCCGAATGGAGGGCAAGAAGACAGCGTCTCTGCTTGAGTGCATGTGCAGATGGGATGGGTGTCATCCAGGTTTGAGACAGCAGTGGCAGGGAGGCCTTGTTCCTTTTCATGCCTGAAGTCACTGGGGCCCCACTTACTGCTACCACCTGCGAGTTCCACATCCCTCTAGTTAATAAACTGGAAGGGAGTGTTGTGTCCTTGGCAGACGGTACAAAGCACTTCCATGTGCAGCACAGCTTGCCACTGAGCCTACAAAGGAGACCTGAACTCAAACCCCCATGGCGCAGTTTGAAAGTGGCCCAGATAGGTGAAAGCCAAAAACCAGTCCTCCTCCCACCTTCTTCCCATGCTCCTTGTCCTTTCCTTCGCCCTGTTGGTTGCTCACTAATATTCACAGAAGGTCTAGACTTGGCACAATTGGAGCATCACTACCCCTGAACTGTCCCAGCCCCTCTTCTGCGACCAGCTCACCTCTCCCTGGATCAGAGCTCAGGGAGAGTACTGTGTGCTGGTGGTCCTCAGTGCTCTTCCCACCATAGGCCCTGGCACCAGGGGTTAGCCATCCTCCTGCCCACAGCTTTCTCTCCTTCCACATATAAGTGACGAAGCACACTCACTGAGAACCGAGTGGCTTCCAGTGGTAGCCAATATGCTGTTCTGTTCTTTAGGGAATGCTTATGGATAGGGAATTTTCTTTGAACAAAAGCAGAGACTGGTTTTCTTGTTAGCAAGCCCAGAGTACTTATCTAGCCTTATGATTAATGGTCTTACACTATTATAAAAGTCTTCTTTTACTTTCTCACTAAACAGCTTACTGTGCTTTTTCTCATGTTTACAACAGGTGGTTTGTGTTTGACACAGAAACAAAAGACTTGGTCACTGTCCACACGGATGGAAATGAACAGCTGTCTGTAATGCGTTATTCACCAGGTTAGAATACAAACCAATATTTAAAATACTTTAAAATTCCAACAGAATTATATAGTTCGATGTAGATATCTTTAAAGAATTTCACAGACTTCTTCAGAGTGAAATTTCAATTGTATGTCACAGAATTGTGGCACTTAGGCATTCTCTTCCCTCCTTTGGATCACTGTGCTTTTAACTTTGTGTTCTGGAAATTTTCAAACTGGTGAAATTACACAGAATAGCATGACGAGCTCCCACACCTGTCACCCTCCTTCAGCCAATCTCATCCTCCATCGCCCTGCCGCCCCTCTCCCAAATCATCTGAAGAATCTCCTCTCTTAATAGTGCCATACAGATCTCAGAAAGATGAGGGTTATCTTAACAGATTTGTTGAGGTGTAACTTACATACCGTCATTCTCCCATTACAGATTGCGTTCAGTGAGTCTTAGTGTACAGAGTTGTGCAACCATCACCACACTCCACAGTGTTAAAACTGTTCCATTCCCCAAATATTCCCTCCATGCCAATTAGTCAGTCGTCTGTGCACACTTGCATGTGCCTGTGTGCACATACATGTCTGGGATATGTACTGACATGATTTCTGGCCTTACAAATTGCTTTTTCTGGACAGATCACATAAATGGAATCATACAATATGCAGCCTGTTGCATCTGGCTTCTTTCACATAAAACAATGTTTTCAAGTATAATCCATGTTTTTGCGTGGATTCATTCATTTTTAATTGCTGGATAGTATTCCATTTTATAGATATCCCTCATTTTGTTTATCTATTCAGATGCTAATGTACATTGGAGTGTTTCTGGGTTTTGGCGGTTATAAATAACGCTACTCTGAGCATTCATGTATATATGAATGTAAGCATATGTTTTCATTTCTCTTGGGTAGATTCCTAGGACTAGAATTGGTAGATTGTATGGTAAAAATTTTTAATGTTTTATGAAACTGGCAAACTATTTTTCAAAGTGATTTTCCTGCTTTCTACTCCTGCCAGCAATGTATGAGGGTTCTTGTATCTCCACGTCCTTCAGTAGCACCTATTACTGTCTTTTTACAGCCATTCTAGGGAGTAGAACATGTCTCACTGTATGTACATCTCATTTTACCTGGCATTTACCCAGTGACTGCTGGTGTCAAGCAAAGAGTCCTTCATCTTCTTTGGTTAAATGCCTATTTGAGTATTTTGCCCTTTTAAAAATGTGGTTGTTTGCCTTCCTATTGAGTTACAAAATCTCTTTACACACAAGTTCCTTACCTGATACATGACTTACAAATGTTTTGCCGGGTTATCTTTTCATTTTTTCACTGGAGTCCTTGGGGTCTTTGGAGCACAAACATTTTTCACTTTGGTGAAGTCAGCTTATCCCTCTTTTCTTTAATGGACCATTCCCAAGTTTGGTTCTTTGAGAAGAGCTGTGAGTGAGCACTTATACTTAGGGCTGTGGCCCACTGGGAGCTGGTTCATGGTGACAGGTTAGAGTCAGAGTGTGTTTGTCCTGCATATAGATAGCCAGCTGTCCCCATACCATTTGTCTAAAATTGTCCCTATTGAACTGTCTTGACACTTTTGCCAAAGATCTATTGATCATAAATGTAAAAATCTATTTTCAGATGCTAAGTTCTGTGCCTTTCACTTATGTTTATTCTGTGGTAATTAATAAATACACAAGGGTAAGTGTGTGACATTAGAGTAACTTTTGAAATTGAGTAGTATAACTCCTCCAACTTTGCTGTTTTATTTTCTAAAATTATATTAGCTGTTTTAGGTCCTTAACACACACACACATATATATACACATATACATATATATATATATATATATATATATATATATATATAAATTGTGCTAGGATCTTAAGAGGGGTTAAGTTGAATTTATAGATCAATATAAAGAGAATTCCTAGCTTGATAGATGATACTGAGTTTTCTAATTCGTGAACACGGAATGTCTCTCCAGCTATTTAGATCTTTAACTTTTCTCAGGAATATTTTTTGTTTGTTTGTTCATTTTGGCAGTACTAGGGTTTGAACTTAGGCCCTCATGCTTGCTAGGTATGCACTCTACCACTTGAGCCACAGCCCTAGCTCTTTCAGCTTTGGGTATTTTCCAGATGGAGTCTCCCCTTATGCCCTGGCCAGCCTGGGCCATGGTCCTCCTATTTGTGTTGCCCATGTAGCTGGGATGACAGGCACGCATCACCATGCCCAGCTTTTGTTGGTTGAGATGAGGCTTGCTAACTTTCTTCCAGGGCTAGCTTCAAACTGCGATCCTCACAATCTCTATCTCCCAAGTACCCAGGATTACAGGCGTAACCCACCAGGCCCAACTTTTTGTTTTAAACTTTTGATATTCAAGTCTTGTTATTCCTTTGTTAAATTTATTCCTGTTACTTTTTGTATCATTGTGCATAGAATTTCTTCAGAATTTCATCTTCAGATAGCATATACAAATAATATTGAAACTCTCTTATCAGCTTTAGAGGGGTATGTGTGTACACATGGGATTTCTTCATGCTAAATCATGCATCTGCAAATAAAACTTTGGCTTCTTCCTTCCCAATCTAGATGCCTTTAATTATTTTCCTTTATTGTATTAGCTATTACCTCCAATAAAATGTTAAGCAGAGTAACAAGAGTGGATCCCTCACTTTGCTCCAATCTTCAATCTAAAAGCACTCAGTCTTTCATTGCTAGGGATAAAGATGCCCTTCATCAGGGTGAAAAAGTTCCCTCCTCCTGATTTGTTCAGAGTTTTTAGCATGGATGGGTGTTGGAATTTGTCAGATCCTTTCTACATCTATTAAGGTGACCATGTGGTTTTGTCCTTTTCTGTTAATATGGTGTATTACATTTATTTCACAAAATTAAACCAAGTTGACATTTCTGTGATAAATACTACATCATGGTATGTGGCCCTTTTATATATTGCAGAGTTCTGTTCGTCAATACTCTGTGAAGGAGTTTGCATTCGTGCTCATGAGGGATATTGCTCTGCACTTTTCTTGTGATGTCTTTTTCTGTCTGAGTTAGAAGAGGGCTGCTAGCCGTATAGGGCACATTGGGACATGTTCCTTCCTCCTCTGTTTTCTGAGTTTGTGAAGAATGGTATTATTTATTTATTAAATATTTGATAGAATCCACATGAACTCAGTGGAACCATCTGGGCTTGTGTTTGGGGGAAGGTTTTTGATTACTAGTTCAGTATCTTTACTTGTTAAGGGTTTATTCGATTTTCTGTTTCTTTTCTAGTCAGTTTGAGAATATGGATTTAAGTTTTGTCTAAGTTGGCACAAACTTGTTCATAGCATTTGCTTATACTACTTTTAATTTTTTTTAAGTTTGTAGTAAGTAATTTGTGTTTCCTTCTTGATTCTGATAGTTTATGTCTTTTTTTTTTTTTCTTGGTCAGTCTAGATAAAGGTTTGTCAAGTTTGTTGATCTTTTCAAAGATCCCATTGTTTGTTTCTTGGGCTTTTCTCTATTGTTTTCCTCTCCTGTACTTGTTTTTTCCTTTCTCCTGTTTGACTTATGTTTAGTTCTTCTTCTTTGGCCTCTCAAAGTAGAATCTTGTGTTATTTATTGGAGACCTTCCTTTTCTAATACAGATATCTAAAGCACTGCTTGAGTCACATCCTATAAATTTTGACATATTTTTATTTTCCCATAGTTCAAAAATATTTCTTTATTTCACTAATGATTACTTCTTTGGTCTATGGGTTATTTAGAAATGTGTTGCTCCATTCCCAAGTGTTTGGGGACTTCCCATATTTCTTTCTGTTGTTGATTTCCTCCTTTGTGTTTTGCTTGTTTGTTTGTTCTTTCAGTACTGGGGGTAGAACCCAGGCCCTCACACATGCTATCCAGGCACTCCTACTGAGCCACATCCCACCCCTAGCTCTTTCTGTTGCTGATTTCTACTTGAACTTCACCGTGAGTGTAGAACGTAATTTGTATGATTTTGATCAGTTAAACATGGTGGGACTTGCTGTATGGCCTAGCATGCAGTCTGTCCAGGAGAATGCTCCAAGTGCACTGGTTAAGAACACATACTCTGCCATCTTGGGTGGAGTGTTCTATACACATTGGTTGATAGTGCTTGGAGTTGGTAGATAGTGTTTTTGAAGTCATCAAATGCTGCTGCCTTTCTAATTGTCCTAAAAGTTGTCAAAAGTAAGGTACTTTGATGTCTAGCTATTTTTATCATTGTTGGTGTCACTTTTCAGCTCTTTCCAGATTTGCGTAATGCATCTTGGATGAAAGACTGGACTCAAACACCTGCAACCAGTCAGGCCTCTTTCCTCTGCCAGGAAGCCTGTGTGCGGGTCAGAGAGCATATTCAAAGTTCAGGCCACTTTCAGGTATTCCCTGACTTTGTACCTGCTCTGTGCATTCTGGGAGGCCTCAGTGCAGTCAGCCAGGGTCCTCTCTCCCTCCACTGTGCACACCATGTCCTTCCTACCTGTGCTACTCACCTAGTTGGGTACCTTATTGCACTAGTTGTAGCCCCTAGGAGGCGCTGTTGGGCCTGATAAGATCCATGTGAAAATTCCTGGGCAGGGCAGTAGGCAGCACAAGAGTGCAGTGCTCTTGTTCTCTTTTCTGTAAGTGTTCTACAGCTGACATGCACCCTGGACCAAACGCCAGCTTATTTTTGCAGAGTAAGTGTAGGAATTTCTTAGACTCTAAGAGAGCTGGGGAATGAGGCCTGGACCCAGTTTGTTGGGGGGAGGTAGGCTGATGACCTGGGAAATAGGCAGAGCCTTGGATGCCTTTGGACTCTGGGCAGCAGACTGACCAACCCTGTTGGTTATTGTTTATTAGGCAAACATTTGTTTTTATATACAGATCTCCTCAGCTTATGATGGGATTACTCATCATTATTTGAAAATATCATATGTTGAAAATCTGTTTAATACACCCAACCTACCAAACATCCTCACTTAGCATCACAGCACAGTGTCGAGTGTCCTTTCCCTGGGGTCAGAGGAATCCAGCAGGTAGACATCTAGACTGAGAGCTGTGGCTTGCTGCTCTGCCTCCTGACAAAGGATCAGACCATATATTGTTAGCCCTGGAAAAGACCCAAATTGAAAATTTCCAGCTTCATTTCTACTGGATATAAATGGCTTTTGTACCAGCATAAGTTGGGGACCATCTGTATTTATGAATGAATGTAGGCAAAAGTACTAGGATTTGAACACAAGTTTTTCTGACTTCAAAACCCACATTCTCTCCACCCCTTTCTTTTTGGTGGTACTGTGGATTGAACGTGCTAGGCAAGAGCTCTACCATTTGAGCCAAATCCTCAATCCTGGCACTTTCACCCAGGGCCAGCCTCAGACCATGCTCCTCCTACCTCCCGTGAGGCATGTAATTCCTGTGGACTGGGCATAGCAGTCATGCCTCATCCTGCTTCTACCTTCATCTTCCTATACTGGCCTATGATGCTGTTTTTCAGAGAAACATGTAATTCTTATACGCTGCCTGTGTTTTCATACCCCACCTCCGCAAGAAGTGCAGCACACTGAAGTGCGGTACTAAGGATCTGGGGCAGAAGGCAGACGAGGGACAGACTCCAAGCCCCTCCCACCTCTGCAGAGGCCTGGCACTGAGGTGATGCCCGCTGGCTGGTTTCCCTCTGCAGAGAGGATTTCGCAGTTGGCAGCCAATTTGAACAGCTTATGAAGGCTGCAGATTAGAATTTTCAAGAAATACTGCAATCTGAATAAGGTTGTTCGAGATAGAAGTGATTGCCAAAGGAGAGTATTAAATCCTGTTTTTAATTCGCCTTTAAAAACATATGGGGGGGATGGGGGGAGAAATGGCCCAAACAATATATGCACATATGAATAAATGAATAAAGAAAAATTATAATAAAAATAAAAACAAATATGGGGACAGTAGTTACACAGGTCTGTTTGTCAGGTCTCTTTGCCCTGTGCAACTGAAATGCATAGATTTTATTCTGTGTAAATGATACTTCTTAAAGGTAACTTTTTAAAGGGAGGGATGATGCTCTGACTTGACTTTTTTCCTTAAATATTAACTGATTGCCCCAAACCTATTTGTTAAATGTCAAGTGGCCCCATTACCAAAGAGCCTTGGTATTTCACAGTACAGCAGTTCTTTGAGATCACTTTGCCAAAGAGTGCACCACCCACCACCCTGACACCCCACAGACCAGATTCTCTACTGCTCTGTGCTCCTCAGCTGTGCTGAAGGGGCCAAGGAACCTAGTGACAAACTACTGGGGCTTGGGTTCCAGTGCCAGCTCCAGAAACCTATGTGTCCTTGAACACATTGCTTTGCTGTTCTAGCCTTAGTCCCTGCTAAAAAATGGAGTTGGTACCCTCTACCTCATACAGTTGTCATGAGGATTAAATAAGCTATGAAGAATTTAGAGCAGTGCCTGGTCCACAGCTGGCGTTTGGAGCCTAAGTACTGTGATTACAGCTCCTTGTCGGGCTCGGTTGGGGAGGAGTCAGCGTGGGATGCTTCTCTGGAGCCAGTAGCCGCACGTGCAGGTGCCTGTTCTCCAGCTTGGTGATCCTGTGTGCCCAGTTCCTTAAGCACTCCTGATTTAGACAGGTTGCCTCAGTGTTGCCAACATTCCTAGTTTGACCTGGTCTGGACCAAGACTTCCTAAAATACCATTTCCTGATGGCCTCAGGGCAGGTGTCTCCTATAGGATTCCAGAGCCTTACTGAAGTGAAGTGTGTGAGTGAGTGTGCCAGTGGCTGAGAGGCTGTGCAGTTACAGTCCAGGGAATCCTCTCGATGGCTGTGAAGAGGCACCACACTCCTTGCTTGGTGGACAGGGCTACTATTCACTGAGAGTGGGGACTTTCCTGAAGCTGGAGCTAGGGTGGAGACCTGCTGCTCCTGCTGCATTCCTGGCTGCATGTGGCTCCAGTCACCACCCGTGAGGTTGCATCCTGTGTCCTTCCTTCTGCCCTCCTGTTTAGGAAGCACCCATGTGTCCTGGACAATTCTCCAGGCCCTGTTCCCTTCCTGGTGTGTTCTAGATCCTTCCCTAGCACTGGGCTTGGCTACTCATTGGCTAGCCCCAGGCCAGGCTCTGCTCACCTTACATTGAGCGCCATTCCTTTTATATGATTCATGAGCTTCGTGGCCTGGTGGCTAAGACTTTCCTGGCACAGAACCTAGTGAAGAAGACAGCCAGCGCTGGCCCTGAGTCAGGGTGAGGAGAGCCTTCTGACAGGCCAGTGAGTACAGAGGTGGCAGGGGACCTGTGCACTCAGTGAGGCAGGCTATGGCTGAAACTGCCACATCCTGGAGAGATGGGGCCCAGAAAAGGCGTCTCTATCCTGCAGTGATGGGAACAGGGATAGGCAGGGAAAGGTTTTACAAGATTTTGTACAATTGTATTTTCAAAGTTTACGAAAAGATCTAAGTTTTTATCAGACTTTTTAATCTGGCAAAGTTTGCTCTTTGAAAGAATTCATTGATCAGTCTATTTTGTCTAAATCTGCAGTGGAAGCTAACATTAGTCCTTGTGATGAGTTAAATGTTTATGTTTTAACATTTGAAATATAATCTGTCCTATTTCTGCAGATGGGAACTTCTTAGCAATAGGCTCTCATGACAACTGTATCTATATATATGGAGTTGGCGAGAGCGGGAGAAAGTACACACGGGTTGGCAAATGTTCTGTAAGTTCTTACCGTTTCTCACACGCACTTATGTGGTCATTTCATTATGTCAGGGTGGTGTCAGTCAGGAATTTATAAGGCGAGCAAAACTCATGCAGGGTTTTTCTCTCCCAGGGTCATTCCAGCTTCATCACCCACCTGGACTGGTCTATAAACTCACAGTTCCTTGTGTCGAATTCTGGAGACTATGAAATCCTTTACTGTGAGTAACAGCCCAGATAAGTTTAGATCACAATGGACACTCACTCTGAGACCTGGATGGGCTTCTGTAGGACTTGGACACATGGGTCATCTCTGTGAGATAGAGGAGCTGGCCACAACCTTACAGATCCTTCCCAGCATGGAGACACTGGGTTCAGGCTAGCCATAGGCTGTGGGGAAGAAAGGATAACAGGGCCAGCCAGGAGGAGGAGGAGGCCAAGCCCTGCAGGAAGAGGCTAGAGTAGGCAGATATGGGATGAGAGTGGGATCTGGAGCCAACCCAGCATGAGCTGCCCTGGTAAAGGTGCCATCCCAAGCAGGTAGAGACCATGAAGTCCCTCCCACCTGAGTGGGACCCTTTCCTTCTCTCCTGGCTTCTCCCTGGCCAGTATCTCTGCCCAAGTGGGCACTGACTAAACACCTGCCACATGCCAAGCTCTGGACAAAGCAGCAGGAGTCACAGAGCACAAGAATGTCCTGGTCTCCTCCCCATTTGAAGTTATGAGAGTGCAGTGTTTTTTACCTGCTTTTGCTCATGATCCACAGCACTTTTTGGTTCATCCCCCTTTTATAGATAAGGAAAGTGGGGCCTTGGGCACCTAGTGTGACTGATTGCCATGCGTTTCCTTCCTGACTCAGACTGAAGGCACCAAGGGCCAGAGGTCGGGGGCAGCCCAAGCCCAGAGTCAGGGTAGGGCTCAGGCCTCCTATGAACACACTGAGCAGTAGGGGCCTGGGGATCAGAGGCTGGCCACAGACAAAGAAGCCAGACTCAGAGAAGGAGATGAGAAGGAAAAAAGAAAGAGGCCTCTGCTGAGCCTGGGGTTTGGGCTCCATTCTGAGGCAAGTCAAGAGCTGTATACATGGTTCCCATAGGTGGTCCCTCTCTGAAAGGGGATATCTCAGAGGATCCAGCCTGGCTCAAGGGAGAGCTGGAGCCTTGCCTGAGATGTCACCAGGTCATCTGCTTCTTTCAGGGGTTCCTTCTGCTTGTAAGCAAGTTGTGAGTGTGGAGACTACAAGAGACATTGAGTGGGCTACGTACACCTGCACTTTGGGATTCCACGTTTTTGGTAGGTTTTCCTCAGGCTTCACTGGGTTCAAACATAACTTGTTGCCTATATTTAGAGCATTTCTCTGATGATCATAAAATCTCATCATCACCTCTCTGTTGAACTGCTCTGCCCTTGCCTGGGGTCAAGCCAGGTCTGCCAAACCATGGCCAACGGAGAAGAACTGGAGAGGTAGGCCTTAACCTTTCCATGGTACAAGCTGGGCCTGAGGTACTTCTCCAGAATCTTCCATATCAGTGCCAGACATGCCCAGCTAAATCAAATGGCATTCAATTTATTACTTGTAGTATTATTATCCTTCTAGTCCTTAAGCTAAATGTTTCACTGCCTTCAAAGTTCAGCATAGAAACAGATTGATAAATGACCTAAAACAAATTGAACTCAGGGCTTTGCACTTGCAAAGCAGGAGCTCTACTATCCTAGCCACACCTCCAGTCCATTTCGCTCTGGTTATTTTAGAGATGGGATCTCGGAGCTATTTTCTCAGGCTGGCCTGAAACTGTGATCCTCCCAATCTCAGCCTCCCATGTAGCTAGGATTACAGACATGAACCACCTGCCTGGCAGTATCTGTAATCTTTTTATGAACAGCAGATCACCAAATTGATAAGAGTTCACGAGTACCCTCGGTATTGGCACGTTAACATTTTCTGGTGTTAAATGCTCAGACCTCCCCTACTCTCCCCTCCCCCGCCCGTTTTTCTCCAGAGCCACCAGGTGAGAAACCGATGTGCATCCAGATCCCTCATATCCAAAGTTCCTGGGACCAAAAGGCTTCCCCAGTGCACCAGTCAAGAGCCAGCCCCTACCCACTGCCCCAGGCCTCCTGCAGCCTTGAAAGCCAGGCAGCCCCATAGAAGCTCTGGGGAAGACATTGTGTTCAGTGCCGGGGTTGCTGGTACTCTACGCCATGCATCCACAGGACCCCCAAAGTGGTGGCAGCACAGCAAGCTGTTGTTGCAGCTTCCACACAGGAAAGCAGAGCAACGCTCTGCAGGGCTCCCTGAAGATGGCCCAGGGTACACTGGACTGGGAGCCACAAGAGGCCAAAGCTGCCACCAAACATTCTTCTGACCCTTGTTTCTAAAGCCCGGATTTAAGGTGGTTTTATTTTGCTGGAAGCTCCTGGTTTTATTTTTCTGGCCGTGGCCAGCTCCTGCGTGGTGTGGCTCCATGTCCCTGCAGTTTCCACTGCTGTTTGTGCTCTGTGTTTTAGGAGTGTGGCCAGAAGGTTCAGACGGAACCGACATTAATGCAGTCTGTCGAGCCCATGAGAAAAAACTGCTGTCAACAGGTGACGACTTCGGCAAAGTGCACCTCTTCTCCTACCCCTGCTCACAGTTCAGGGTAAAGGTCAAGTCTTCTTACTAATCTTGTCCCTCTCATAGCATATATGCGGGGTCTGACCTTCTGGCAAGCTGGAGAGAAATGGGCTGTGAATGAGGGCTGCCAGCCACAAATGTAGATATGCCCTGCTAACCTACTAGTCTGAGTGCTTCTGGGGCTTCCTACTGCCCTTGGGAAAACCCCAACCCTGACATGGCCTTCAAAGCCCTTTAGATCTGCTTTGCCTGCCCCTGCAGTTTTGTGGGCCTCATCCCCCACCCCTACCCCCACACCCACCCCTGGCTTCCTCTGCCCTAGTCCTGCTGAGCTGAGCCAACTTTGATACCTACAATGTCCTCCCTGGGCCTTTCCAAACCTGACCCTCCTTTAGCAAGGAGGCCCTCACCCTCAGACTCTAGCAGGTGGTCAATCAGTCCCACCTTGGGCCACCCCTGTGACTGGTACAGACCTGTGGTATTGACCATATCTCAGTCAAGGGCTGTTGTTTTAGCATGTCTGTTCCTTACCACACCACAGAGACTCTGCAGGGCTTGTTTCTGGGTCCCTCCTGTGTCCTACATACAGAACAGGTACGCAGGTAAAAGTGGAGGAGTTAGGACTGATCCAGAACTCACGTTCTGCATCCTACTTTTCCAGGCTCCAAGCCACATCTACGGCGGGCACAGCAGCCATGTCACCAATGTTGACTTCCTTTGTGAAGATAGTCACCTCATCTCCACGGGTGGGAAAGACACAAGCATCATGCAGTGGCGGGTCATTTAGTCCCCGAAGAGCCCTGGGAGGTCATGCCCGAGAAGACACAGACTCGTGTTCCACTTGGTCACTGTGATTTCTGTTTTGTCTAAAAATTCTTACAAACCTCAGGAAAACTATCCCTCTACCAGTTAAATTAGCTTAGGGAGTCAGCGAGCGTCACACCAGAGAAGCAGTTCCATTTCCACTTTTGTTGTACAGTACACGAAGCACTGCACATTGGAAATAGAAGAGGTCCCAAGGTTTACGTGTGGTGGCACGCACAGAAGGGACTGGTGTCTCCTTAGTAACTTTTCTATGAACTCTTCAAAAACAGTCACAGAATGCCTTTTAAAATATTGTATATAGTCTTCACAGTTCACCATCTAGCTTGCTAAGACAAATATTTATAATAATGAGGTACCGAACCGTGATTGCTGTCGACTAATTTGTCCTAAAAGGATAAATCCCTTGAGAAGAGAGTGAATGACTGATTTGCACAGCTGAATCAGGAATGCAAATAAAGAGACTTTCTTTGGCTACATTTTCTAAGGTTTCATTAGATTCTCCCTTTGAGAGGCTGGCAAGGAAAGGGTTGTAGTCTGCTGGTGTGGGCGGATTCTACTTCAGATTAACAAGCTACGGCAGCAGGGTGTGCAGGCGAGGCTGTGTTCCAGGTCACCTGTCCTGTCTAACCAGACAGTTAGCCTCTTTGCATCGCCATGAATTGCGTCCGCTGCCCCCATTACATGCCCCGATTCATGGCAAGACATTTAGCCACCTTCCTCTGTATATTAATGGCATGATACGGTATTGTGCTTGTATAGGATGTTAGTGACTCATAATAAGCACCCAAGGCTAGGCTTCACTGTTCTATGCTATGGACATTGGATGTTTGTACCTGACGACCAAGTAGAGAAGGAATCTCTTCAGTGTACCAGCAACCTGCGGAGAGGAGGTCAAAAGGCTCCAGGTACCAAGGGCAGTTCCTTTCCCTGTCTCTTGTACACGGATGGCTCGTGGCAGTGTGGAATAAAACTGTTCTGAGGAGTAGAACATAGGCATAAATTTGTTAAGAAGGCCTTACCCATTGTGTGACAGATTGAATTTATTGTTTACATTGGGGAATGTATCTTGGATTTTTAAATAGAAGAGTAATAAACAGACTTAAGTACAAATATTAAGATTTTTACTCGTTCTAGGAAAGTAAATGAATTATCTGAGCTCTACAGCACTGGTTGTTTAGAGTGGCTGATTAAATGCTACATTTGGAAACGTGTTTCTTGACATCTCTAGCCTGCTGCAGAAGTGCAGAGCACCAGTAAGCCACATGCACTGAAGATGAATCTGTTTGTATGTATCCTTATCAAATATATTCTATAATGAAAATAAAATCTGAAAAGTGGATTCTTATATTTGTGAAAGTATATAAATTAAAATATTTCAAATTAGATATGATTCATACTATATTCTATTTTATATACAGATTTATTCCTCACCTGGTCACTTTCTGATGGAACTATGCTTTGCATATGATAAAGAAACCTTGTTAAATAGTGGAGCCTATTTGTTACTTTAACACTTCTACTTGTTAGTATGTAGATACTTTCAAAACAACCTTTGGTTGTAGTTGCTATTTAGGTGATTTTTATTTTTTATTTATTTATTTGGTTTTTTTTGGTGGTACTGGGGCTTGAACTCAGGGCTTTCACCTTGAGCCACTCCACCAATCCTTTTTGTGTTAGGTATTTTTGAGATAGGGAGTTGAAAACTATTTGCCTGGGCTGGCTTTGCACCGTGATCCTCCCAATCTCTGCCTCCTGAGTAGCTAGGATTACAAGTGTGAGCCACCGGTGCCCGGCTTATTTTTTTGCTTTTTTGAGACAGGGTTTCACTATGTAGCCCAGGCTGACCTGAAAGTTGCCATCTTCCTGCCTCAGCCTTCGAGTTCTAGTATTATAAAAATAATCATTTTTAAGTTAGTAATCAAAGGAACAATTAGATGTCAGTGAAGGGAAAGGGCCCCATTACTGACTTGTAAGTCAAAATCAGATTTGTAGATAGATGGCACACTAATATATATGTATTGTGCATTAGTGGGCTTACCACTGCCCATCACCTGTCAGGCAGACAGGGCCTAGACCCTGTGGGACTCTTCTGCAATGAGAAGCTCCAGGAAATAACCCCATGACCAGTCATCTTCCTCTCAGCAACCTGTGGCCTATTGAGCTCTTAGCCTGGTTTCCTTGCAACACCTGTGATGAGGAAAGTAAAGATTACTATTTATTTTTAGCTGTAATAGGTATACCTGTTAGCATAAGAAAGTTTCCCAATGCAAAAAGAACCTCAGAGTTTTTTTTTTTTTGACGTTACTAAGGTTTGAACTCAGGGCCTTGTGATTGCTAGGAAGGCAGTCATACTCTAGCCTTTTTTGCTTCAGCTTTTTATTTTTTATTAGCATAAATTAACTGTATGAGGGAGTTTCATTGTGATGTTTACATATACACATAGAATGTACTTTGATCAAATTCATCCTGTGGTTATTTTTCAGATAGATTTTTGCTCTTGCTGGGGACTGGCCCTAGACGGTGATCTTCCTACCTGAACCTCAGAGTAGCTGGGATGACATGTGTGAGCCACCACTCTCACCTTGTTTGTTGAGATGGGATCTCACTAATACACTACCCCATACACATACACACGTGAACCTCCATTCTCCTGATCTCTACCTCCCAAGTAGCTGAGATTATAGTCATGCACCACCACACTCAGCCCTCAGGAATTTTTTTAAACTTACTATTATAAATTTTACGTTACTGAGATGACATTGGCCATCCTGTTTTAATAAGATCAAGTACAGAGGGACACTGGATTTCCTCAGAAAAGCCCAGAGCAGACACCAGGTGCCTGACCCAGGCTTCAAAGCCTGTAGAAGAGCACCTATTTGAGTCCGTTTCCTTCTAAACTACAGCTAGCAGTGTGGTTAAAATCTTAGTCTCCTGAATTTGAGCAAAACTACTTGCAGATGCATTCTACCTCTCTCCTGGACTTCCAAACCCTATGAGGGGGCCTCTTAGGAGCCCAGCACTCTCCTGGCCACAGTGGGAACATCCTAGGGTCTCTAAGACTAAAGCAACTGAGAAGGACCGAGGCTGTTGGCAAAACCCCAGCTGTTTCTCTGCTCTGAGAGAAGTCAGGAAGAAGAGGAGCAGGAAAGGAGTTACCTGGTGTGCTATGGAGCTGGTGGTAGGACAGCCTGGAGGGCTCTGTTCTGCAGTAAGAGGGGCTCACACTGAGCCCGAGGGCTCTGCCCTCCATGACCACTCTGAGCCCTTTGGGAACTGGTCTTTTTGCCAATCCACTGCAGCTGGCCTCTAGGTCCTGGGAAGTCAGCCTGGAGAATGCCCGCGAGCAGTCAGGGCTAGGAGCCATCTGATGTCCCTCTGCAGGTATTTGGGGGGTCCTGTAGGCTTACTACCACCCCTAGGGAGCGTAAGAGACTGGAATGTGGAGAATAACACTTACTCCAAATTTGTCCTAACAAATATGTCTCACTACTAGGTAAACCCCGGCCTGTCCTGCCCGGGCAGCACATCGGTGCCATGAAAGACAGATGCTCATGAAGGATGACCCGATCACATCTTAAATGACCACTGTGCTAAGGGCCATATAAGAAATAAGAGCACAGAGGAAAACGGGTGGGCTCGGAGGCTCCAGAGGGCTCCCCTGAGAGGTGCAGAAAGAGCAGTGACCCAGGCCGAGGGGAAAGAGGCTATGGAGGCTGCAGCCAGCACTTTTGAGGGAGAAATACAAGGTCAAATCCAGGCCACAGGTTTGTGGGAGGCGAGGCTGGTCAGGGCAAGGACCGCAGGCATGACCTGGACGGGCATGAGAAGGGCTTTGCTCTAAATCTGCAGATCTTCCAGGGCAAGGGAAGCCACTGGTGGGTTAGGTAGGGCAGACATTGGGCTGGTGTTTTGGGAGGTCTTCCAGGCAGTGGAGCATGGCATGATCTCAGTGAGCACGAGTGGCTGGGGAGGGGTCCAGGGCATTTCTCCGAGAGGTGTTGAGGTGAATGTGGGCAGGAGTCCCAGGCTACCGACGCAACGCTCTCGGGTCAGCCATGGGTTGAGACAGAGAGCACTACAAGTTTCATGGGGGCAGGAGGAAGGGGAGATGAGTCTGCTGGGAACAGGCTGGAGTAAAGTGAGGTGCCTCTTCACATCCATGTGCAAAGTAAGCACCAGGCCTCCCAGGCTACAGCAGTCCTGCTGGAGGGTGAAATGTGAGACTCTCTGGCAGGGTTGGGTTGGCAAGGTGTTGGTCAACCCAGGCAAGGAAGAGAGAGCTACCACTCAGCCTGGGGGCTCCAGAATTCAAAGGCAGGTACTGACTAGCAAGGTACAGAAGACAGCCCGCAGGTGGGACATCTGGCGGGCCCAGCTACAGGGTTCCTTGACTCACTGGGGAGCCAGGGTGCTTTTTTCTGTGTTTGATGAGTGCCTTTTCAGCATCCCCACACAATGCAGTGCTGGGCAGGAGGTCCAGGCATGGGAGGAGAGCCTCCATCAAGTAGAGAGACTGTGGGGCTATCAGGAGCCCAGTGAGATGGGTGAGGGTGAGGAGGGGAGCTTCCGGCACCAGTAGGAATGGGTGGAAGGGAAGTTCAGTGGATTTTTGACATTCACTGAGGGTGGTGTACCCTGGCAGCAGCTGTCTGCTGCTCACTGCAAAGTGGAGCATTCCATCCATTGCTCTTCCCTCTGTGAGTTGGGAACAGGCAGCCATAATCCTAGCTCACAGGTGGGACTCAGAAGAAATGGCTATGTCCTAGAGCCTCTAGCTTCTTAAAAGGCCCATCTGATGTGAAAGACCTCTACAAGGAAAACTATACACTTCTGAAGAAAGAGATTGAGGAAGACTATAGAAAGTGGAGAGATCTCCCATGCTCATGGATTGGTAGAATCAACATAGTAAAAATGCTGATACTCCCAAAAGTAATCTACATGTTTAATGCAATTCCCATCAAAATCCCAATGACATTCATTAAAGAGATCGAAAAATCTACCGTGAAATTTATATGGAAACACAAGAGGCCACGAATAGCCAAGGCAATACTCAGTCAAAAGAACAATGCAGGAGGTATCACAATACCTGACTTCAAACTATATTACAAAGCAATAACAATAAAAACAGAATGGTACCGGCACAAAAACAGACATGAAGACCAGTGGAACAGAACAGAGGATCCAGATATGAAGCCACACAACTATAAGCAACTTATCTTTGACAAAGGAGCTAAAAATATACGATGGAGAAATAGCAGCCTCTTCAACAAAAACTGCTGGGAAAACTGGTTAGCAGTCTGCAAAAAACTGAAACTAGATCCATGTATATCACCCTATACCAAGATTAACTCAAAATGGATCAAGGATCTTAATATCAGACCACAAACTCTTAAGTTGATACAAGAAAGAGTAGGAAATACTCTGGAGTTAGTAGGTATAGGTAAGAACTTTCTCAATGAAACCCCAGCAGCACAGCAACTAAGAGATAGCATAGATAAGTGGGAACTCATAAAGCTAAAAAGCTTCTGTTCATCAAAAGAAATGGTCTCTAAACTGAAGAGAACACCCACAGAGTGGGAGAAAATATTTGCCAATTATACATCAGACAAAGGACTGATAACCAGAATATACAGGGAACTTAAAAAACTAAATTCTCCCAAAACTAATGAACCAATAAAGAAATGGGCATGTGAACTAAACAGAACTTTCTCAAAAGAAGAAATTCAAATGGCCAGAAAACACATGAAAAAATGCTCACCATCTCTAGCAATAAAGGAAATGCAAATTAAAACCACACTAAGATTCCACCTCACCCTGTTAGAATAGCCATCATCAGCAACACCACCAACAACAGGTGTTGGCGAGGATGCGGGGGAAAAAGGAACCCTCTTACACTGTTGGTGGGAATGTAGACTGGTACAACCACTCTGGAAAAAAATTTGGAGGCTACTTAAAAAGCTGGACATCGATCTACCATTTGATCCAGCAATACCACTCTTGGGGATATACCAAAAGACTGTTACTCCAGAGGCACCTGCACATCCATGTTTATTGCGGCACTATTCACAATAGCGAAGTTATGGAAACAGCCAAGATGCCCCAGCACTGACGAATGGATTAAGAAAATGTGGTATCTATACACAATGGAATTTTATGCAGCCATGAAGAAGAACGAAATGTTATCATTTGCTGGTAAATGGATGGAATTGGAGAACATCATTCTGAGTGAGGTTAGCCTGGCCCAAAAGACCAAAAATCGTATGTTCTCCCTCATATGTGGACATTAGATCAAGGGCAAACACAACAAGGGGATTGGACTTTGATCACATGATAAAGTGAGAGCACACAAGGGAGGGG